TAATATAAATGCTATGAAAGTAGTCATGAGCAGTAGCCCATCTGTACTGGACAGAATTCTACAAATCAATTAGATGGTCATAAAAAGCTAAACAGATGTGGATGAATCAACTGTGGAAACAAAATGGATTGAACTCTTACATTTATTGTTCATGTATAACCCTTTTTAATAACCAAGATGGGTAAATTACACTAATTAACCTTTAAAAATTTAGATGATTTCTAAATAATAGCTTCAAACAATGCCTATTCTTTTCATTGTTACTTTTAAGTGTTTTGTCCATGACAAGGCAGTTTCATTAAAAGATCTACAGAGGTAGTTTAAATGTGTTTGTTTTGTTTTGTTTTTTTTTTTTCTTATTTCTCAATCATTAGACTTTCTACAGAAAGAACATACTCTCACCTCTCCCCTATCAGGTAGCGCTTGAAGTCAGAAGAAATCAAATCCATATATCCTAGGAAGCAATGACAAGAAAACTCATCTCCTGGAGACCACTTGAGTTGGGTCTCACTGCTCTTGGTTGGGATAGATTATCCGACAGGACAGCAAATCCTGTTCTTAGCCACGGGAGAATGTTATCTGGGCTAGGGCGGTGCTGGGAGCAAAGGCAATGTGTAGCCCAATGCTTTTGGACATGTTGCCTGGATCCTCAGCAGCCCACATGGCTGCAGATTGTTCTCATCCACTTCCTGCCATGCTTTGAGGTAGCAAGCAATTGTCAGAGGTTTGATTGATTATATGTGTTCATGTTATAGCACAGCTGGAATCAGGGTGGAGATTCCTACGGCTACAGAAACCTGAAGTACTCAGCAAGCCTTCAACAGGAAGGGTTAGAGGAAGCACTTGCTTTTATGAGGGAAGGGGAAAGGTATCTGTAAGGGAATCTTTCTGGAGAGTTTGTTTTTTCCTCTTCAAAGCCCCCTCTCTATGTCTTCATTCAGGAAAGGATGGTTCAGCATCTGTTACTGTAAAAAATGTTTTGTTTGTTCTCACTGGTGCAAATTATTTGTAAAATAATCAAAAATGTATGTTTTGTCAGTATTTTGACTGCTTCTTCAAATAATTTATCTTTAGCATTTTGAGGTTAAAATTTCTCAGTGGTGTTGTAAGGTCTTAATTAAAGCAAAAGAGATAATTTACGATGTATTTAAGAAAATAAATAAAAAATCCAGCACTGATCACAATACCTTAGATGGAATGGTGAATGGTTTGAGTTCCCTAAATTACTGATATTACCTGCTGATACGAGGGCTGTTCAAAAGGGCACTTCACTTTTGGGTTTATTTATTAAAATCCTGCACTCAACTGTAAGAAATTAGCCTCCTAGAGATGAATCGCTCCCTATTCAGGGGAGCCTGAAGCAGAGAAACCACTCATGCACACATTGCAGAACTGCATACAGTAACACAAGCGCCCATGCTTTACTCATCTCTTGTGCAAGGTGCTAAACAGTAATGTGAAGCATTCCTATGGGAGACAATGTTCTTGGCTTAAAAGTGATGCCTTTAGACATCTTTCTCAAATAATTAATGCCAGATTTACAGTGCTACATGATTATGTTTTTTTTTGTTTTTTTTTTTTTTTTTTTTTATCTTGTAACTGGAAGCCCTTAACTGAGGTGGTGTGAAACACAGTATATTGGACTCTGGCAAAACCTGGCAAGATTTCTAAATCAGCTTTTGGGTAAGCATAAATAAGGAGACAGAATGTCTCATTTTTATCTGTGAAATTTTATGTATTGCAGCTGGGATACAAGTCTGTCTTGACTTCTTGCAGTAGAAACCAAGCTATCCTTTCAGCTCTTGGTTGGCTACAGAAGTTTTAAGCACTTCCTTCAAAGCATGCACCTTGAAAACATCAGGGCAGAAGAGATGCAGCTCAGGTAAGAGCCTTGGCAGCCTGGAATGTTTGCAGTCTCTCTCTAGCAGGACATACCATGGTAATTCTCTCTCTTCCTGACCGTTTACAGCAGAATAAGCGTGTTGGTAACGTGGAACAGCTGTACACTAGAACAATGGTAAACCTGTTCTGGGTAAGTTAACTAAGCAATGCCATTCCAAATGGCCTGCAATTTTAATATATGTAGATTGGACGCGCGTGGGAAAAGTTCACAGAACTTCACCTGAACCTTGTGATACATCATCCTGTAGTGGGTTCCAAGAGTTCCTCAACATGGAAAACTTCTATGTAAAATTATCATTGTGTAACACAAATTCAGGTGTGTTTTTTGTCTACTACCAAGTTAGGGGTTCACATTATCCTAAGAGATTTGCTCTTCTTACTCTTGTGTGACTCCAGTAACAAATCCCAGAATTCAGCTTTGGCATTTGTGCGTGACGGATGTCAATAGAATTTCCACTAATGAATGGGGGAGGGGTGTGGGTAGTGGTACTGGGACCTCCTCTCAAATGTCCACATTGAAGGTGAGAGACACTTTTAACAAACAGCACACTTGCTTGTGAGCTGAAATTAATGAAGAATCTGCTCTATGTTTATAATTTTTATGCCAATGTGTTTGTCCGTGTACTAAGATACCATCTTACAAGAAGCAAACTTGCTCAAATTGCTTGCAAATTAAAGAGCTCTGGCCTGACAGCCAGGCAGAATAACTGTTACTGTACAACAGTTGTTCTTGTCATGCTGCAGGCAGTAGAGGTGTTTCCACAAAAGCACTAATGTCCTTTCACAGGCAAACCTTTAACATTACTGGGATTATGTATGCTGGAGGATGGTGACCTGGATCACATGTGACCTATAAAAATGCTTGTCTAGTTTTATCTATTCAGTGAGTTCTCTGGAGTGAACTTGCACATTTCTAACACTCCTTTGTCCAGATTCAAACCTGTCCTGCCAAGTGCGAAATGTTGCTGTAGTAGACAGCTGCCATGGCAGTGCTTCTCATCACAGGCTTCTGGATGCCAGAAGCAGCCTGAGATGAAAACGTTCTATGAGGGAAGGTGCCCTCAGTGCTATGTTGTACTGCTAGCTCTAGCTGACAGGGAGAACAAAAATAAGATAATTAAAGATATGAAGTTATCTTAAGAACACTTTGTCTCTTTTTGGAGGAAAGGGAGTGAAGATCAGCCCAACATCAGTACAAAGTCTTGGTCAAGGTGTTGAGATTATGCCAAGATAGTAAACACTTCCTTTGCTTTTCCTTCACTTGTGGTTACCTTTCAGACTTCTTCAGCTACTGCAGCCCCACCTATCAGCAAGCACTCGTGTTCCAGGTGCAGAGAAAAAACGGCGTAAGTGGTAGTTGTGGAAAATGGATGGTGTCAGAGGTCTATCCTGCAACCCCTTCATTATGGGGGTATGGTAGATTGGGTAGTTCATCTCTTTCTGTAGAAATAGTCCTTATAGTGGACATTAGTAGTAGAATGTAAAGTCCAGAGACAAAAGGCAAGCAAGGATAAACTGGTAAGACCAGTAGCACTGAATACCAGAACAAGGTCCTGTTCCCCCATCCATGTGTAAAGTCATGTAGCAGAGGAAGGGAAACTTCCAACAGCTTGGCAGCCGTCTGAAATCCGCAACTATTTTTAACATGCAACTTGCAGCAGAGAAACTCTTTCCAATGATTTTTTACAGGACAGGCCCGTTGTCATTAAGCATACAAGAAATTAACAAATTAGAACAAAAGTATGGCAAAGGTCTAATAACAAACCAAGATGAATATCTTGACATTTTTCAAATATGGCTGTAGCATTTATTTGATAAATATATAGGGCTAATAAATTACCATCTAGACTACTTCTGCTGTTGTCTCCTTAGCTATTTGTCTTGCTACAGTGCATCTTCATTATGCTTTCAACCTTTAACTGCTATGTTGCTGCCATCTTGAGAAAGAGGAGAATCCCATGGCAAGAGATCTTTCAAGTAGCAGGCCATTCACTACAGAAAAAGTCACTTTTGAAACTGCTAATGCAGGCTTTTTGTAACTAGTCTCCCTTGAAGGAAATCAGCAGTTTGCAATTCATTCCAAGAGCTGACCCTAGATAAGGACTGAAGTGCGGGGGTTTTTCTGTATATATACATGCATTTGTTTTAATGTAAACTAGCAACAAAATGTAATATTAGACAAACCTTTCAGACCTAGGTATCTGCTACAGGTTTATCTCTTTAGGCTTCTGCTCCAGAATTTTCTAGAGCAAATTGCATAGTGCAAATGACTTAACCAGTATGCCTCACCCGTATTTGAATTACAATGCTTTATAAAAGCTAAATCCCTGTGGTCATCCTTCCTGTCCCCAGTTGTAATAGCTACCTCCCACCACTCTTTCAGCTGCTACTGTGTGAAGTGTGTGGTGCTAAGCACAATTATATCCACATTGTATTTCTTTGAGCTATGTGGCTCTTGGAACACAGTACAAGAAAAAATGTTTTGTAGACAGCAAGTAAAGTTTATGTACTTGAGGTAAAAGTTGCAGCTCACTGTGCTACTTCACCAAAATACCCCTCAAAGTGAGCCATTAGGATTTTTCAACAATAGCAACACTTTGCATAACAAAAGTAGTCTCTGTAGGATACTGTACTGATATGAGTAACAGGCCTACACATAGGCAGGTCACAGCCTTTAACTGCAGAAGTACCTCTTTGCATCCAATGTTGTATTTGAGGCACTCACAGCTGCTTGGGTTAATCTATTCCTGAATGGACGCTAAGTGTCTGAACAGGTAACTATCATACTGTCTTCTTTTCTGGAGCTAGGACCAGAGCTCACCTCTACTGGTTCGCTTTCAGAGGAGCATTAGGTACAGTTGCTACAACAAATGTTTGTCTAGAGAAGAACATAGAATCACAGAAAATGCCTACTGTTCTTCCAAGTGCAAGACTATCCAGTCAGTACTGTTTATAACACCTGTCGGACTGATACAGGAGCATGGATAATATGACTGCTGTAAGCAGAGCAGTTAACATAAAATGCTCCCTCCATAACAGCTACTTCTCTTCTAAACTGGAATAAAGACAGAGACAGGAAATAAACTGAAGAACTGGTATAAATAAGAAGTGGTTTATTAAAAAAAACAAAACAAAACACCACACCAACAAACAAAAATGACACTTCCATGTGTGGCCAAAGGTCGGACTTTAATTTAAACTATGTACCCAGCATCTGTGCTTCAGAAGTCACATAAGGAAGGAAGGTAAGCTCGTGCCTGCTGGCACGTTCCTCAAGACTCCCCTGAAGTGGTCTTTAGACTATATTAAGTTTGTTAGCAGGGTATGAAGTTTGAATTCCTACAGGACACTGAGGAATTGAAGAACATGTGCCTCTTTACACATATAGGACTTCCCATAACCATCTTTCAAACAGAAATGCAATTTGTTGCATTTTTAACAGCTGCAAAAACAGTGACAAATACAGAAAAAAAAAATGCAGGTAAGCATGCAAACTGAAAGATTTTTTGTAATTTTTTTTTCCCCTAGGACAGTTTACTTATGAGGAAGTACTTAATTTTATTTCACATGTCTATGCAAACTACTTACATGAGAAGTATTCAAAAGATAGCCCTTTTGAATACACAGTCATCAAGAATTACATGTGAAATGTAGCTTTTGTATGTGGGTTAAGACTTTCCATGTACAAATATTGCTGCAATCCTCCTTTATAACAGAAGGGAATGGATTATTAGAATGCTATTCCTAAAACATTCTTAATTTTAAAGTAACTATTTCATTAATAAGACTGGCTTTAAATGAGTTATTCTGAAAAAAAGCTTTCAAGATCATCCAAAAGGAGCTTATATGCATGCTTTGCTTTCATTGCTAAAGTCATCTCCAAACAACACAACTCAGCTCTATGGTTTAGGTATGTAAAAAGTGTGATGAAGATTCTGAAAAGACTTTTTTTTTAATGAAGAATCTGCTCAGCCTCCTTGGACTTGCTTTCTCTTGTTTTCCTCAGTAATGCCTGTTTTATAGCATTGATCTTTTCATCAAGTTCAGCCAATGAATAGTTCTGCTAAAAGAACAAAATAAAACACACAATCATTTACATCTTGTAATTGTCAGAGAGGTGGCCTAGCACTTGATACTTAAGGTCACAGCATATTGCACTAAATGACAGAAATACTTTTGCAAAATTGTCTGAATATAGTCTATGGCTATTTAAACTTGAAAGAAAAACAATGTAAACTTAGAAGAAACTGACAGTCCTAATCACGGATCAATATATCCATGCAATTTCCATTAGATGCTTGTTTAACCTGTTCATAAAAAAAAACAAAAATCCTTTGATGTTAAAACACCAGACGAGACCATCTAGATCAATCACCTCTATGCCCACTTAACCTGACAATTTTTTTGATCTCTTCTTACACAAAGAACTGGTCCTCATCCTTTTTATAAAAATATTTCACCCTACAGAAGATTTTTTTTGTAATATAAACAAGCATCAGATGGCCCACATCTTATTCTAAGCATTCCCCCCAGTCCATCTGTCTCCAAGTGTGATGGCTAGTAGCAGACAGTGTTCCAGCTACGGTCTCACTTGCATGAAGGAGAAGTTCTCTCTTGCGGCCCAAGGTACATGGTTAATGTATTCCCTTATATAATGGTGTTGTGAAAGTGGCAGGTTTTACAGACTTAGGTTAACATCTGCTATGTCAGGTCTTTCTGCAACACTTCTGCTAAGCCAGCCATTTCTACTTTTATTGTCTCTTCATAAACCAATAAAGCAAATAAAAAAAAATAAAACAGAAAAAAAAAAAAAGACAAAAACCACCAAGCCACAAAACAAAACCAGAAGACGTTACTAGGAGGCTGATCAGAATTTGTAAATTGCTTGCTACCCCCAGCTAGATTAACATCATTGCAGATTTATTTTATTCTATCATCCTTCTAACTGGTGAAACCAATAACCTACCCTAGTACAGACTCTTAGAAGACTCATTTCATTGTGACACCCTTTAACTTTCTGTTTCCTTCCCTCTCTTTCTTTCCCAGAAAGCTATCCAATACCGATGCAGCTATTTCTGGGAAGTCAGATATTTGCTTGGTAGAACTTCTGAATGCTTTTCACTCAAAACATCCTAAACTTAAGGTAAACAGATGTTAACAGCACTTACATGGGGAGGTTGAACCTTTCTCCTCTTGCCAGAACAGCTCTAAAGACAAGACATAATCAAAACAGACTTAATGTTGTACTGACAGAGGACCACAAGTAATTCTGTAACAACATTGACAAGAGACTTAAAAGTACAGAAAGAACACCGACTGCCATTCCATGGATTAAAGAAATCTTTCTTATAATTAAGTACCTTGTATCACAAGAAATACTACTGGAGAGCAGTCAGAAGCTGTTTGAAGCTTCTCTGTGCTTGGCAGCCAACAACTATTAACTTAACTGAAGCTTCCTTCAGACAAAACCAAAATCAATACCCAGCTTTTGAAACTGTCAACATTTTTCTTCCTGAAATTTTCCTGTATTCACACCAACATTTATGCAAAACTTTAGACAAAAAAAAGTGTTAATTACTGCACAACACTACTATTGACACCATCACAAATTTTTCCCGGACCCCTATTCTAGAGAAGAACTTAAAGCACTTTCCATGGAAATTTCAGCTTATGACAGCTTATGTTTTAACTTCTGGTTTCCAACAGCTTGAAAGAATAGCCTCATAAATAAAGGGCATTACTGGTCTCCAACACAAACAAAAAAATGAAACAAAAATTGATGAAATTGCTATTGATTTTTAATTGCTGAGTCTTCCTTCGCTGGTCTCACGGGAGACTATATAAATTAAAATATGATCAACTGCAACAGAGATGTTCTTACTGTTACTTGGGGAAAGAAGAGCAAGATAACAGACAAGAAATTTCTACAGCCACAACTAATGTAGTAACAACTAATGTTCTCTTTGTCTTAATATCCTTTGGTGAATGAAGGACAAGGTTTACTACTTGGAAAGAGACAGAACTCTGCCTGTAGACTACCAGCAAAGAAACTAAAATCATACAATCACATGAAACAACTTTTAAAGGGTTTACTCTCTCATCCTATTGGGAGTTGTTGCACATAGATGATCTTCAGTAACCAGATTATGTACAGAAGCCCAAAGGATTTCAGCTGATTTAAGACATTAATGATTTGTATCAAGATCAAAACTTTAGTCAATTTTCTTGTCATAAAAAACACTTCAAATTTTAGGGGGAGGGTGGGGTGGCAGGGCAGAAATCCAACCTCTGTAATACATTTCTTACAAATTAGTTAAGCTCGGATGGCTGCAATTTTTTCCCCACCAACAAATACTATTTTCTTTCAAATGAGAAATTAGGTAGAAATACGAACTTACATAGATGGTCCACATGAAATATAACCATTGCACTGAGCCAGAGTTGTCTATCAAAAGTGTCTGCCCCCTGACTCCTCAGGTTTTTTTCTGTACATAAAGATTTAAGCACAAAAGTGCCAAATGCATTTAGGTATGCTAAAAGAAGTTGTGAGAATTTCTTACTACAGATTGAAAATATTCAGGAGACAGTCCTTCCAGCTCAAGGATTTTATCTTCAAGCTTCTTAATTCTCTGATAAATGTCTCTCGGTACAGGACCACCTAAATACACCAGTACAAATAGAAAGAGATCAGGAAAAGCGCTTGAATAACTTTTTAAACTAAAGATTGCAAGTTTTACAGGTGAATTCTTTGAGTTCAGCTATCAATCAGTGGCTGAAACAAAATGAGTGGATGGGATAATAAAAAGGAAGGGTAATTAATATCAGTCAGGTTTTACCTTGAATCATAAGCCAGCACAGCCAGCGAAGGCAATAGACAACTTTATGAAGGTGGCTGAAATATGTCTGAAAAGGTCCCTGGAACAACTAATGATCACTCTCACAATACACTGGTCTTACACCAAATGCTGCCACTTCAAAACTGACAACAGCATCAGCAGGGAACAGTTGGGATGGCAGACTATGCATGAATTCAGCATTGATATCTAAGATTGTACTGAGGGAAACCTATCTCCACTGAGCATCAGAGGGTAGAGGAAAGGTAGGAGTCACTCTTGACAAACAACAGCATTTGCCTGACAAGAGATGGGAGAAGCATAGGTGGGGAATGCACGTGTGGAATGGAATAACAGAGCTTTGGAAAAAACACAACCCAACCAACCAACCTCTAATACCCATCCCACCCCCACCAAAAAAACCCAACCAAGCAAAAAACCCAAACAAACAAACAAACAAAAAAAAAAAAACCAGCAAAAGCCACAAACACTACAAAAACAGCAGCAACAAAAAAAACTTAACCCATTTGCTGTTTACAGCTACACTACAGCAGCTTGGGCTTGTTTCCCCATGTAAGAACAGAACTGATCAAAAGATATGGGTTAGAAAGTATCTTATTTTTGCTACATAGTAATCTAGAAACCAAAAACACTGTTTATCACAACTAACTCCTAGCTATCCCAATTAAAATGATAGTCTGGTTCTTAACAGTAGCGACAATCAGAGCCTTAGCAAGCTTTTACTACTTCTCTTGACACCTATGTGCATTTATTTCTAGGTCAGTTGGGTAAGACAATTCTATTCCACAAACTACTGAAATAAGCACTAAAGGTTTTTTTTCAATTCATCTATTTCCTAACTTCAGACAGACAATTTTGCGAGTAGCTTCCCTCCTTCAGTTCTGCTCTCTACTCATCACTCAGCAGCTACTAATTAAATCAGCTAACCTCTCACTCTTCTTAATATTGCTGTCTCTTAACGTAAAGGGAAAAGAGCAGTGCTAGCACTAGAAGAAGCTGTTCTGAAAAGCAGCAGGTGAGTCAAGAACAACTTTTAGTCATCAGAAACAAAAACTGGGGAGCAAATAGCTGAGGCAGGTTACCTGCTCAGATGAATCTTCTTGCACAGCTCTGGGGTAAGTAACAAATGATCCTGAAACCTTCCCCATGAATGCTGATTTGAATAGGAGTTGAACTTTCATCCTCTTCCCCTATACTTTCATCCCTATACTGTAGTTTAGTTGACCTATTCCTTCAAACAAAATTATGTCACCTATTATAGGCACAACCTGGAAGCAAGGACCCCTCCTTAGCTACCTTCAGTCATTATCCCTGATATGCATAAACTCCAAAGCTACTACACATTGTAATCCTAACACTAGCCAGCCACTTGCAAATTCTGTTTCCATGCACAAAAACCACCTTAACTTTTGAGACAGCAATACAGTTAAGCATCAGGCTCTGACTGCTGCCTCAACAGCACCCAGTATTCTACTCTCCTTGCCGCCAGATGACTTTGATCCAGTATGCATTCGCAGGAATCTAATAATCTAGTCAAATGTTCATCATATTCTTAGAGAATTAATTTGCATCTATTCAGAAGACAAAAACTAGTCAGTGTGCGTCTGCAGTGTTATGTGTAGAACGTTTCACTTTATTAAGTGAAGATCTGGTCTTCTGTTTTGAAAACATTTTTCAGCAAAAATACAGATTCCTCCTTGACAAGCGCCTTATTGATTCATATTATAGAAAACTGGGGCTGGGGTGAGGAAAGCAACTACTTTAAAACACTCAGTAGCCTGGTGGCTATGGCATTTATTTTAGTGAAAGGTATGGACTCATGTTTGCATGGCTAAAGGGAAGTATGGACAACGAGCTTCCCACATTCTGGGAAATAAGCTTCTCACCTAACTGTATTTCAAATCATCCACCTTTAGGAAAAGGTTTCAGACTGTCTTTCATGTGATCCCCAGCCCACAAGGTGTCCATGAAGCAGGACGGAGTCAAGCTCAGCTTTTCCTGTTCAGTGAGTCAAGGCAGGAGGACTCCACTGGCTATGGAGAACCCCTGCTTCCAAATATTCCAGATGGTTTTAAATCCCATTCTGAAGTGCTTCTCTCTTTTGCCACTACATCAAGTGTACATTTACTAACTCTGCATTCTAATTTGGGCAGTCACAGTTTTTATAGACTTGCCCAGTTTTACTACAGTAATGATACAAACTGGTACACCAATGTCAAAATTAAAACATGGTACATACCTGTTTGTAACCGTAAGTGTGCTTCAATGTTTTGTAATCTCTCCTCAACAGCTTGGTTTCCACAAGCATGAATGGGTACATTGGCTTTGTGACTGGACCCGTGTGCTCCTTCAGATCTAGTCTGAGGACCGTATGTATTTACTACCCTAGAAACTAGGTAGAGAGAACACAAGTTTCACATATATGCACATGAAACACAAAGTACATCTAACTAAAACAATAAAAATATTAAAATATGAAAACCTGTGTTAAATCAATTTCACACAAGCCTCCCATGTGAAGGGTCCCACACACATTAAGATCAAAGGTTCAAGCAAAAGTATTTTCCTATTTTTGCATGAGTAACTAAACTAAACAAAAACCTAGGACTTTACATATGCAAAGTAAAAGAATTACTCATACATTCATGTAGAATGGCAGTATCTAGAATTTGTCATCAGCTGCTGATAAGTAGCAGAAAACCCGATATCTATGTCAGCAGTTGCACATGTGAGCTGTTGTGAATGCAAAGAAGAGGCCAGCCCTAATATTACAGGAAGCATCATAAATACATGAAGATGAGGGGAGGTAAACAACTAGAACCGCTACGAATCTCAGCAAGGAAGTTCTCTTCTAATTTTTGTTATTCGTGTAACAGCTTTAATGACTCTTCAGCTGCTTCTGGATCTATCTTTTTCCCCTGCCGAAACGTGTCTTTATCAGAAGATTTCGGTCACTTCTCTTTATATCACAGTCATTTCTCAAGTCCATGGTGACAGGACTACTGAAGTGTATCGCAGACTTTAAGACTATGTTGGCAACTCCAGACACTGAAGCACACACACCACCTCACTCAGTACTTCATGAAGGCCATATGTTACATTCTTGCTTCAATTTATACTGAGTTTACTTCCAATTCCTTTCTCAGTGTTACTCAATTTCAGTTATGAACTGTTTGAGTTTTAGTTACTTGAAGTGTAAACTCATTTTTTCCTGTAATATGCTACCATCCAAGTTACAAACTACCAGTTTAAAAAAGTGACTACTGAAGGGAGTTCTTAGTGAAAGATTATAAACTCAAACTCACTTTCCCATCTCCCTTTTAGCTCACCAGATCTTTTTATGCTTATACTTATCATCGCTCTTCACACTGAATTCTAGAATTCAGAATAATTAATTGGTTTCTGGAACCAACATCAAGTGGATAACTGAATACTATCACTCTCAAAAATGGAAGAGGGGGTTACTTTCATCCTCATTTTGAAGATTTTGTTTGGTTGGTTTTAAACACATAGTAACTTGTATACACCTAAAAAGCAGTAGGTGGACAAGCAATCTTTTGTCCATAACTTCTGTTGGACAATCATTTCTGTACTATTTACACCTTTCCAAAAGGTAGTGCAGTGGTAGGCTTGTTCCCCAGATTGTCACTTCCCATAAATCAGAATTTCTACCGTGTTCCAAAACTATTTTCTAATTCAATATACTTACACTGACTAACAAAAAATAGATCATTTTATTTAGTCTCAAGTCCTTAACTGGACTGATGGCTTCACCTTAGAAGAAATGCTAAGAATTGTTCAGCTTCTCTGTCCTGCTTTATCTTTTGCATCTTTCCTTTCGGACAATGCAAACAAGCTACTTTGTTTTGGTCCTTAGTGCATATCCAGCAGCTTAGTGAAGAAATTACGGGATTGAAAACCTTAGAGAAATAAGCAAAGAGGTAAAAGTATTCACTACAGTCAAAAATCAATATATTAGGTTTTTCATTTTTGAGCATTCTATAAAAAGTTTTAAAGACAAAAATTTATCAGTGCTGCTCTATCTGGACACTTTTAATAAATGGGTATTAAAATAGTTGCTTACCCTTTATATGACTTTTAAATCCAGGATAGGGTGTGAAAATTGCATCTGTTCTGGCACAGCTATTTTCTAAATAAATAATAATAATAGAAAAAGTGAGGTCCTAATTACGTATTTATAATTTAAAATATTCTAACCATCATCAGCTTCGAGGCTTTTAACAAATCTAATTAAAATTCTTCAAATAATAAAAACATCAGAAATACTTAATTCATTCTATAAACACTTGTTCGTTAATAGTTTCACACACTTGCATGGACCTACTGGTTTTAATTGGATAAGTCACTTTATATAATGTATGCATATGTGTATATAAAAGTTTATTGGATTGGGACCAAATTTCTTCCAATTCATACTTTATTTGATTCTTACTTTTCACTGTTTCTCTGTAACTATTTCTTTCTTCCTACACTGAAGACTTTTGCTTGCTTACCACTGTTACTCTGTTTTATGTACTTTTATGAAACTGTTCTTCTATTTTTAGACTGGTCTAGTTTACTCATCAGCACTCTTTGCACACCTTCTTGCCTTTATTCCGATGCCTGTGACTTCTTTAATTTGTTTCACCATAAAAACCTACAGTACAGACCATCCTACTTTATTCTAATGTTTATATTTCAATCCCTTTATATCCCTTTATATTTTAATCATATACACAAAAGCTTTGCACATATTTTATTATGCCTGAACATACAAAGGAAGGTCTTGTTATCATTTCTTCTGTATCTAATTAAAAATGTTAGGAATTGGTATTTTATTATCTAGCATATTCAACCAGACTTCAGATGTCATTTTCATTCCAATGAATATTCAAAGGAGTTAAACTCTCTTCCTATAAAGCTTATGGAACAATAAGCTTTGATCTCTAAAAGCATAAGTACATCACAGAGACAATGCACATCTGGGTTCACAGGTACTTAGAAAATGTCTCTGTACTAGTTATGTATATAAAATTGTCTTCGCTTTCAAGCTGTATTTGGTTACACAGTTACTGATCGTGTTAATGGGATCCAGCTTACCAGACGGATTTAAGATTGTTTGGTTATAGAGAAAGCCAACTGTGCCAGTTGGTGCATTAAAAACACCAATACCATGAGTCATGTTAAAAGGAAAAAGTTATTCTAAGTAGCTGGTAATTCAAATTGATTGTAAAAAATACTTTTTTGTAATTTAACTAGCATTAAATTAACTGCAATTTGAATATGCAATTCACAAGACATTTCTGAATTGCAATTGTCGACTTTGGAAGGAACATGTAGCTAAAACACTGGAAACAACAGCTACAGAATAATTTAAGATGGCAGTTGTTAAAATGAACACAGTAAGAGCTATAATCTTTCCATATGGGATGCATTAACCATTGCATCCAGTGACTACTTTCTTTTTTTGTTTATCTGACATCTGCAGTGCACATGCAAGTTCTTAACTTTAAAACAAAGTTCTGTTTTAAATACAGAGTAGTGCTTTTGAGAAATAAAAAAAAATAATAATAATAATAAAAAAACAACTTAAATTGCTATGAAGATTAAAGTCTGGCTAGCCAGTTACCTTGATTACAATCAATAACATTGCAAAATTCCCTGACATTATTTTCATTGATCTCAGCTTGTTTCCTCTCGATGAAGGCTGATATCCGCCTGTCAATCTGCAGGTAATAAACATGATGGCATATATCTATTTCATTCTTTAAATTAAAGATTTAGAAATGTCTTTGTCTTTTTAAAAAGATATAAGTAAATCACTTACTTCTGCTTTTCCAGCTTTTATTTGGACCACCTCTGGATCAAAATTAACATGAGCATTGTTCAGATCTCCTAAGTCATAACTTGCGTACTTTTCTTCCGTCTGACAGTTATCATCATAAACATCTAAACTTGTTTCACAAGTTTGGCTTTCTGTTTTACCTGCAGGTTCATCATTGCCTATATTTTCCTCTTTAATCAATGACTGGAGTTTTTCTAAAAGAGGCTGAACAAAGAAAACAGTATGTTAAAAAGAAAAAAAAAAAAGATAAAAAAAATCCCCAAAATAAAAAGCAAAAAGCCAAGTACTATTACAATTTCTAAAACAGACCAACTTAAATAATTTTAGGAATTACAACATCTGCCTCTGATGGAACACAGTAATAAAATAGAAGAAACATTAAAACAAGTTATAGTTCCAAATACTGTGCACACCATGACTCTGGCCTTTTTGACCTGTGCCTTTTAGAGGTTTGTATAGGAAAAGTCCCAAGTTTCTGTGAAAATCTGCCTGCTACTCATCTGTTACTAGCTAAATCAAAGCTTCAGTCCTTGGCACCAATGCCACTTAATTAACATGTCATTCAAATGCCTACTCAGAACAGCAAGGCTTAGTATTTTTCCTCCTTAACATGAAAGCCAATGCTTTCACACTGCAAAGCCTTTACTTTATCACCACAGCACTACATTCTCCACTTGAAACTGCAGTTGCCCAAGTGAATGAGAGAACACAGACGTGAAATATATAGGTGTTATCCTGAACACATGCTTTTCTTGACATGGTTGATTATCTACTTAGGTCATGAAATTAAATGAGAGAATGCACTGACATTTGTAGCAGCAAAAATAAACGCTTTTCCTACTGCAACAACCCCTACTCAAGATACAACAACAAAACCTCAGTACATCTATGCGTCACACCCTCTTTTTTCATTTTTACCAGTTTCATCTAGTCTGAATTTCACTGCTTATTTTCCCTCTAGAAAGTATTTTCTTTTTTTTTTTAAAGATAACATCATTTTTACCAGTCACATTTCCTGAAATTGAATCAAATTCCTACTTGTGGTGTTCATACAGTTGGATGTAATTTTTACTTGCTTTTATCTTGCATATTTTCTTTTCTTGTTTATCGCACCAAAGATTTGGTGGATGTCTGGATAACATAAAAGGTCTTTCTTTTACCTACAGACAAGCAAATACAGGAACTTCCTTTTCCGCCCTCTCAAAGTAATTCACTGACTGGCTGAAGTGAAAAACTGTTATTCAAATCCTGACCTTTTACAGATGAACTGTTAAGGTCGAAACACTGTTCAGTTACCAGCTGACAAACAGTTCACCCTCCTTGCCATGCAACTAAAATACACGTAATATTGGCAGGGTTGGAAAGTTTCAAATAGTTAAAAGAAATGACAGTAATGGTGACTGGCTACTTGGCAAGATGAGACATTAATGTCAAAGAAATTACTCTTTAAAAAAAAAAAAAAACCTACGCCGAAAATATATTTAATTGCAGTAAGACACTCCAGGATGTGTCATGCTGGGATAATGCCACTTCTTGAACCACTGAAAGCACTCCATGAGCCTCAAAACTCACCCAACGCATGGAATCATTATCATAGCATGACACACACCTGCCGTGTCTTATTGCTTAATTATAACCCACCATAGATGGAAATGTATCACATTTACAATGCAAGTCTAGAAATCAATGAGGCTGCATTTATTCAGCCTGCTCACCTACAGTGGCTATTCCCACCACCAATCTGAAAAATCTGTACGTGTGAAGCACGGTGGAATCCCAAGCATATAATATTTTTGCATTCTTGTTGGACATAGCAATACAAGATCAAAACAAACAAAATTTTACAGTTTAGATAATACAACTACATTCAGATGTTGATCACTTTTGTCAAGTTGAACGTGTCCAATGAAATATTTACCTGCAAACATAAAATATGCTGCTGAAGTGCACTAAGAAGCAACGTTGGCTGAAGTGCTGATGTGCTTTGAAGCTTGCTCCAATCGATTACAACTTTCACAATATCGTCTCCGAGGTTAAGCTTCATGAAAGCAAAACAAACACAATAAAAAATTATGTTATGTTGTATTAATGTCACAAAAGCATACAAGACTTCTACAGGACAACAATTATGTTCAATCTCATGCAGACCCCATTTTTATATTAGAGCACTGGAGAGGTTTGACTAACAATAATTCAAGCAGCTGTTATTTTTAAAGTAAGATAGTATTTGCAGAGTATATTAAAAAATTAAAAATTCCTTACTACCTCATCACACTTTCATTGAATTAATTTGATCTTTAATTTTAGTCAATTCTCAATTCAATTAACTATCATACAAAAACATACAGTTCATGTTAATCACTCAAATCTTTGCCAGAATGACAGAACCACCAGTAGGAAGAAACAGGTACCCAGGATGGCAGTCTCCTGTAAGTTCATGTATTTTACGGCTATTTGTGACTGTATGATCAAGGTCTTGATACTGCTCCATGCCACATTCTTGAAATTTTTACTTGCTGTTAATCCAAAGGAGGCTTTATATAAAAACAGGTGTTCAAAAAAGAAATCTTTAAAAAAAATCTCAAGGTTAAACTCTAGACTACATGGCATCACTATCAAACCCATTTCCAACTCACACTGTTTCCCTTTATGTGCATTCAGATCAAAATAACAATTGCCATAGTCTATTCTCTATGCCAAGGAATTGCAATATTTAACTCCCAAAGCAATAATGAGAAACACACATAGTGAATCTGAAGTTTTATCTGAAGCAACTATGTATCTTCTATAAGCTAAAAAAACCCTTTCACTTTCTAAAACAAAGCTTATTGTTAATAATCACTAATGAAACACACACTTTCATACCCACCTTTGCCATTTTTGTTACACTAAGGCTCTTTTCAAGATCTTCAAGTAACAAGCACTTTCATTTCACAAAGCCAAGTAGGTTGTTCTCCAACCAAACAACCCGTAAGTGATCACCCAAGTTCTAAATACAGTTAAAATTCTTGTTTAAAATCATGAGGACCTACAGGTACTCTGTTTGAGACACAGAATTCCCAAGTCATATGCATATTTGTACATCTACATCTTGCTTCTCCCATTTTTTGTGGGTTTGTTTTGTTTTTTTTTTTTTTTTTTAAAAAAAAAAGGAAAAAAGAAAGAGATACCTCAGGCAGATGATAAAAGTGACCACTAATGTATGGTCTAAAGATATTTAACTTCTAATGGCATCAAGTATTATGGACAAGAACATAGAATGCATATGCACTCATTTCTTGAATCCACCACAGTGTATGAAGAAATGGTGAGAACTAAACAGAAGAATGCCTCCATCACTCTGAAGGCAAAGTAGTGGATACTAAGCTGTTCTGTGTTAAACCCCAGCATTATCACAATTTTCTATGTAAAGAACTATAAGCCTGAGACTTGTTTCTTTAGACAAAGAACAACCTTGTTAAATCCAGTGTTAGAATCAAAATTACATAGCAAAGGAGATGGTCTGACCAGATATATAATGTACTTCAGATAATTTTCACCCAAATGGTTATTCGTGTTTAGTACTTAAGCTACTTAGGATGTAGGAAAAGTAATGTTTTAGGAAATACTAGTTTTGAACACCTTACAAAATCAAGACTGTTCCTAGAATTTAACAAGAATAAAACTTTAAGAATGAAGCCACTGTGCATATGTGATCATCTGAAGCACACATTTCTTCCCAAAGTTTCTAAAGTAACATCTGCCATACACTACATTACAGTCCACTGACAGGGTAAAAAAGGCATAGATGTAAGTCATCATAATGAAACAAAACAGGAGTCCCATTGCAATTTCCTAATATGCCCCCTTTTTCAAAAACAATCAGCTGATGTGTGCCTTCATATCATACCATGTGACTCCTGTCCAGGTGATTCAACATATAAAAACAGTAGAGCTTCTGACTTAGAATAATTTAGAGGCCAGGGATATTTTAAACTCATAGACACTGTTTTTAAATATAAGTAAAGAATAAACCCCTTCTGCATCCAAACATGTTTCTAGTATGACATAATTAGTTTTCTCAGTGTTTCATATCCTTCTACCCATAAGAACTGTGACAAGCAGGTTTATAAATTCTGTGATTTGGTAACTTCAAAGCCTTTGCATATTTACAGCCTATTCTGTAGCAATTTACAGGATCATAAATCATTTCAGCCCTTTGACACTGTTTTATGAGACACTGACTTTCACTTGGGGCTTAAAGAACTTTTCACCATCATTCACATTGGTTTTAAGAGTTGACATCCTCCGATGTCCTCCTAGCTACTGTGCTGCAAGTGATTGCTCTAGTCCAAAAGTTTTTGTGCCAGAAATAAATATTCCTATTTACAGTCCAACCTGCTAGCATAAATCCAACTTATACTACTATGATGGATCACAAACTGTGACAGCTAACGATCTGCATGTGTTCACTCATCTCTATTAAAGGGAAATGGGGAATCGGTACTTTTAGTCAAAAATGCAAGATGGATTGCTAGAGTCAGCAAGCTAGTAAAACATCACAGTTAAATCAACAAGAACTCAAGCGCTGGCAGACAAGAGTGTAACTCAACAACTGGAAACAATCATGACTGAGCAATTAAAAGAGCCTTCTCAGCCAAGATGGAGTAACCAGACTCCTACTCATAGTTCAGTGCAGTGCACAGTAAAATGGTTTTGTTGTCATGAGAAGAATACACCCCAAATGCCAATGAAGACAATTTCACTCTACACCATAAGTAGTGTACCACTACTGAGCGGATGCAGCAACTCTAAACTGTTCTCTTGCAATTGCTTGTGAACATCCAAATATTGTTTAAAAATCACTAAGCTCTCTCCACTCACATGCTAGACACAGAGCAAACTTTGGAGAACAAGCTACTGAAGAAGAAAGAAAAACTAGTGTTTAATGTCATTTTGAAAACAAATAAACTTGTGATGAGCACCCTAGTTAAGATCTTAGGAAACTTTTCCTTTATTCTTTTGTGTTTTACATAAATACAAGAGTTCAACTTTCCAATCATGTTAACATTGTAAGAACAACAGTATGAACGACAGTATCGCACCCAGATAAGCTGTTAGTCACTAGTTCTTCATCGATTACAGTTAGAATTTTCACCAGGAAGACTTCTGGGATATTTCAACCTCAATACATAGATAATTTTCCTGTCTCGGTAATCCTATGAATCAACAGTGTATGATCAAGTTGTTTAGTACTGCACTCCTGTTCAAAAGCTAGGGCAGTTTTTAATCACTTTAGACATTGGAAAACTGAGACTCTTAGTAGTCAGCACCTGAATTTTCAGGACCTTAATTTTGGATGAGTTTTGTTTGAAAACAGAGACTCTTACTAGCAGGCTTTGAGGTGAGAAGCAAATATAATACACAATTTTATTCAGATGAGAGGTGAAATGCTCTAAAAAAGAATTTCAGATCAGTCAGCAGCTACTTCTAAACTGCCTCTGTATCTAAGAGTCCATTTCTGAGTGTTTTTGTAACGTAAACATATATCAAGCTATAGTATCTCCTGCAGATATCACTCATCATCTGGCCCCAAACCTTCAAACTGCTGTCTAATTTCAGAAACAAGTGCGTGCTTCTGCTGCCTTCACAGAACTACATATATGCTACCACAGTGGAAAAGGAATTAATCTGTAAATTATTTATGGTAATAATTGTTACTAAAACCTTCTCCTGATAAGGGCCTCCCACCACTACTGTAATATCTGTTAAATAATTCATAGCCATTACTAAACCTAAACTAGGTGTCTCAACTTAAGTACCACAGAGCAAAGCCGCTTTAAAAAATCTGACCCACTGAGATATACTTGTGTGTTTCATACTATGTTATTACCGAGGCACGGCTAACTTCAAGCTCCCTATCATTTATTTTGATTTAATGCACAGTAAGCTTTTAGTAGCTTACCAATCCAGAACCGTTAATTGTTAAGATACAGCAATTAGGCAGACTGCCGCTTCTCATGGGAGAGATCATTCGCCAAACCACAAAGTGACAGGAGGCGTCCCGTCGCCGAGCGGCGAGGGCAGCCCAGGCCGAGGCGGTGCAGCAGCCGCCCCCCCGCACCCTGGGGCTGCCCACGCCAGGCGGGATGCGGCAGGCAGCGCCGGCCCCGGCTCGGACAGGGGCTGCCCGCTGCCGCAGGCGCGCCTGAGCAACCTCCAGAAGCGAGGCCGCACGCCCGCCCGCGTGTGGCAGGCTTCGTTTCTCCCCGGCGCCGCGCTTTACTCTCGGGACCCAGGAGGGCCGCGCAGGCCGGGGAGCCGCAGGAGCACGCCCCGCTCGGGCCCCCGCGGCGCCAGGGCCGGCCCTGCCCCGGGCCTTCCCCTCCGCCCAGCCCCACGCTCACCTGCCCCGCCAGCCCAGCCAGGCAGCGCAGAGCGCTGCTCGTCACCTCCGAGGCCGCGGGGTCGGCGCCGATCTCCGGAGCGCGCCCGCCGGGCTGCAGCGGGCTGGGCGCCGCCGCCGCCGCCATGACACCGGGCCAGGCCGCGGCCGCTACTCACGGCCCCGCCGTCGCTCCGCGATGACGAGTCCCGCGGCTGGCCCCGCCCCGAGGGCTGATGGACAGGCGCGGCAGCCAATCGCGGGCCGGCGCGGCGCGGAGGGGCGGGGAGTGGTTCGCACTGAGGGTCCCGACTTGCACGGCCGGGCCGGCGTTACCGGCCGCGCTGGGTGCGAGCGGGCTTCTGCTGGGCTCCTCGGCCCGGTAGCCCTGCTCGACTACGGGCTGCTCGGGGCAGCTTCTCGGCCCTGGCAGCAGGGCCTGGGCTGGTGAGGCCGCTTCAGGCCTGCCTGTCCCGGCCCGGCACTGCCCATCCTCCCCAGGCCCTCTGGGCTTCCGCGGCGCGGTGTGTGGAGGACCCTCTCCTGCGGTACCTGTCTCTCCAGCGTGGCGGGCAGCCCCGTTTCCCCAGCCTGAGGAAGCATCTTAGCTTTTGCTCATTTCCCTGGGACCCTGATGCTTTTCTCAGCTCAGGTCCGTTGCAGCCATCTGGTAAGAGACCCACCTGGGGGCTCGCAGAGTGACAGGGAGTTGGCCCAGGGGTGTAGGCCCACCTCTTTGTGCTGCTCTCGCACCTTTGGTACCACCAGTGTAGGCTGTGAACCCTGCAGAGCAGCAGCTCCTGTGGGAGCTCTCCTTGCAAGGTCACTTCACCCCCTCACTTTTTTTCTTTCCCTCCTGGCTCTTTCCTGTCTGGCAGCCTCCGTGGAGCTCTCAGTGTGGCCACACAGCAAGCACACTTACAGGAGTGCCCCTACTGAGTGCTCCTTCGTGAAAGGAAGGACAACGTGGTTTTGTCTGTTTGTTTCAGCTGTGCTTTTCTGGTTATACCTTCACTTTTTTATGGGGCTTGCAAGACTACTCCCTCTAAGACTGTCTACTTGATTTCTTTCCTAGACAGTATGAATGCTAACAAAGATTTTCTACCTGATTTTTCCTTTGATACCCTAATTTTGATCCTTTAACCTTCATACCTCTTCCTGTTCTTTCTCCAATATATTTTATTCCATTGGGAAATGGTGAGTGGTGTTGCATATACAAATGTTAAAGCATTCTTAAATAAAGATGTTATAAATGCAGATTGATTTATTGACTGATATTTTGGGGAGCATTTTTAAGGCATTCCTCTCTATCCAGATAAAACTTAATTTAGTGAGTGTTCCTCAGGGGTCGGTATGGGGATCGGCGCTGTTTAACATCTTTGTTGGTGACATGGACAGTGGGATTGAGCGCATCCTCAGCAAGTTTGCTGACAACACCAAGCCATGCAGTGCAGTTGACACGCTAGAGGGAAGGGATGCCATTCAGGGGGACCTGGACAGGCTGGAGAGGTGGGCCCATGCAAACCTCATGAAGTTCAACAAGGCCAAGTGCAAGGTCCTGCACATGGGTTGGGGCAATCCCGAGCACAAATACAGGCTGGGCAATGAGTGGATTGAGAGCAGCCCCGCAGAGGACTTGGGGGTGTTGGTTGATGAGGAGCTCAACAAGAACCAGAAATGGGCAGTCACAGCCCAGAAAGCCAACTCTATCCTGAGCTGCATCAAGAGAAGGGTGGCCAGCAGGTTGAGGGAGGGGATTCTCCCCCTCTACTCATGAGACGCCCCCCGCAGTGCTGTGTTCAGTTCTGGGGCCCCAGCATCAGAACGTCATAAACCTGCTCGAGTGAGTCCAGAGGAGGGCCAGAAGGTGCTCAGGGGTCTGCAGCACCTCCCTTATGAGGACAGGCTGAGAGAGTTGGGTTTGTTCAGCCTGGAGAAGGCTCCAGGGAGATCTCATAGCAGCCTTCCAGTACTTAAAGGGGGCTACAGGAAAGACCGGGAGGGGCAGTATTGTTAGAACAATGGATAATGGCTTTAAACTGAAAGAAGGTAGATTTAGATTCACTGTAAGGAATAAATTCTTCCCTGTGAGGGTGGTGAGACACTGGCATAGGTTCCCCAGAGAAGCTGTGGCTGCCCCCTCCCTGGCAGTGTCCAAGGCCAGGCTGGACGGGGCTTTGAGCAACCTGGTCTGGTGGAAGGTGTCCCTGCCCATGACAGGGGGGTTGGAACGAGGTGATCTTTAGGGTGCCTTCCAACCCAAACCATTCTATGATTCTATAAATGTCAGAAAGATACTGGGGGTTATACTGACATATACATTGAAATATAAGGGAGAATGAATGTATATGGAGGGTATCAAGAGATGGTGGATGTGATGTACTGTTATTTATTCAGTGATCGTTACAAGAAAAGTAGTCAGAAGACCATGAAGTAGTCTGCAGAGTTGTTGATATCCGCCTGTTATTTTCTAAGCACAAACTGGATCTTGGCCTTCTTCCTGCTGATGGCAAATGTCTTCTCTTAAAGAAACAGTAATGATTCCTATGGGTAAAGAGGGCACAGATTTTCTTTCAACTTTCACTGTCTCAGAGGTTCTTGATCCATGCTGCAGCTGCTAGCTGGATAAATTTGGTATCTGAAATTTCTCAGATTAAATTATGTAATGCATTATGCAAGCATGAACAGAACGGAAATAATCCAAAGTGATTTAAGAGATAGAAAAATGAGACCATGTGAGAAAATAAGAATGGAGAAAACACATGTGCAAATGCAGCTAAGACAAAGTAAGTTAAACATTCATATCTAATGGAAGAGACAGACCAGAGAAGAATGGTTCCAAAGATGATTATATGCTCACTGCATGTAGTGCACAGTAAAAATGAATACACTTGCAATCGCCTCTGGCAGTAAAACTGGCCACAGTAAATCCAGGCCTCCCATAAAGACAGAGGAAATTACATGGCATGCTCACTAAAGCTGGTGAAACAATAAAATATTGGAAGCTGTCATTGCTGGAAAGATACTGGTAATTTGGAGGGAATTTGTAGAAAACTGGCAAGAATTGGATTGCTGGAGATAGAGATACTAGTTTAAAAAGAGGGATAAGAAGATTTAAATATGTGTAACTTGGCAGTAATGTCTGCTTTCAGATATTTTAATAATGTGACTACCAAGGGAGGGAATAATCTGGAATTGCTTTCAACATTCAGGGTTAGAGTTATCATGATAATATTTAATCTTCTGCAGCTTTGATCCCTGAAATGGATCTCTGAGGTGTATAAAAGCCTCTCCTACCAAAACCACCTTGAAAACTATAAGCACAAAACCACTAAGGTCTTCAATAGCAAATATAATTGTTTGCATGAAAATTATTTTGAAATGGAAAAGAATTTTCTTTGGTTTTGAACTATTGCTCCTTTTTATTTGGTTTGTAAAATGATAAAGATACAGACCCGTTTCTAACTCTAGGTGCTTTTAAGCACCTTAAATTTTAGTAAATCCACACAAGTTCTACTTGCTGGTCACCACTGTTGTGAGTACTAGCACTATTTCTTCAACTGAATATTATGTTAACATAATTTCTGAAGTCGCACTTTCATTTTGTCCCTAACTAACACCCAAAGAAAGGTGGATGCTTTGCAGAATGTACCAGCGGTTGAGGTTTGTTGTGCTAAAGAGTAAAGTGCTGAGCTAAGGAGCCTGTGTAATGTATAAGCAGATTTTTCTCCTGAATTGAAAAGCTCATGCTGTGTACTTCTGCTTATGTCAGCTGTAGTGCATAGAAAGGCAAAAGAGACAACACTTGAGAAAAAAATTAAACTGAAATAATTTGGAGCTTCAGAGATAAAAACAATACCCTGAATTCTGCACAGAGCCCCAGGCAAGTGGTGCAGCTTGGCACTGACTGCTGTAAATGTAGTTTTTCCTTAATACTCAGATTATCAGTGCTGGTCTAAATTATTTCATTTTATAAATAAAAAATTGATAGGAACCTACCCATTGGATTAAAATAGAATAGGACATAACAGACTCCCCTCCAGAATAAAAGTTTTTATTTAGTTTTCCAAGCTTTAATTTCAGAAGAAGAGCATTTCACTTCTGTTGGTACCTGGGTACCCAGGAAAAGTCATCTCTCCAACCAAGGTTATGGATCCTTGGTCAGCAAGATGCTTAAGCTGGTGCCTAATTTTAAACACTAACCTAGCTGAAAAAGCTCAGCCTGCTTCCCTAAAATGTACCCATGTACTTACTAACTTCATCAAATAAAGGCTCTGAATTGCAAATCTAATTCTCCAATAGGAGCTGCATTCCTTCAAAGCAAATGTCTTTGCTGACCTTTTGGTTTTCTCTCCCTCTATCAACATTTAGAAAGCCCTGTTCAGACAGGATTGGAATAGGATCTGTATGAAATGTCCTGTGGGAAATAGAGCTGTGATGTATTTGCATTAAAAGAAAAAAGAAAAAAAAAACAAACCAAACCAACCAAACAAACAAAACACAAAAAACAAAACAAAACAAAACAAACCCCACCCTGTATCTTATATTTATGACTTGCAATAATTTCATCATTCCTAGCAAAATTCAAGATCTTCGTGAGGCTGTTGCCCGATTTCTGTTTAGTGTCCTTATTCTGACATGCATATAGAGCCACAGCCCTTCCTTTCTGAATTTTTTTACCCTTGAGATTTTATGATACTGTTCCATGCTTTGCTTTATTTTGGTCATTATTTTTCATGTCTTTGTTTAGAAATTTTACACCATATTTAAGTTCTATCTACCTGCCTGTCCCCTCTTTCTCGCTGCTGTCTGCAAATAAGAATAACATCCTCTGTACAAAATCCTTCAGTTTGGTTATATAAGTTGGGATCAAGAACTGACCTCTGCAAGGCCTACCTCAACAGATCTTCTTAGAAGTCAGTGAACTATTATTATAATTATCCTGTGTTCATAAATTTTAGACTTCTGTAACTACCTGAATGGTTTGATTATAAATCTCCTTTCTATAATTTCCTTTTGAGACTATCACATGAAAATGTAGAAGGAATGTGTCTTGCGGAGTAGGTGTCTATGCTCACAGTGTTTCCCTTGTCTGTAAACTCTCAGTAAATTGACACAAGCATTGTGCAATTAAGCACTCATACCTGAAGATAGTCTAAAAATTAATAATTTTCCACTGCATTAATATGTACATGCTG